CTCTGTCTCTTAAAATGGCCTCTCTGGGCACCCTAAGCCATCACTTAAGAAGTCTGGCCACCCAGAGATGCACTATGCTGGAGAAGCCGGGTATAGAAACTCTTCTGGTGACAGTCCCAGCTGAGCCCAGCCTGCCTGCCATTCTTACTGAGGTGTCAGCCATTGGGATGGACGTGAGTGAGGCTGCCTTGGGCCCTCCAGACCAGCTTCTCTGCAGTTTAACATCGCTGAGTGACCTCAGTTGCCACCAGAAGAGTCACTCAGACAAGCCCTGCCTGAATCCCTCACCTCAAAAACCATGAGATATAATAAAATGGTTGCTTTAAGCCACTAAGATTTGGGGTAACTTGATACCCCATGGGGGCAACATGCATAAGCTCATCCAATTCATTCATTATACCTATTTTACAGACTAGGACATTTAAGCTCAGAGGGATTAAATAACTTGCCCTAGGTCTCCTGGAAGGCGGGAGGCCCATCCGGCATTTGAACTTGAACTTGGAAAGTCGGACTCCATAGCTCCTTCAAACCCACTGCTTCTTAGTGGCTCTATATGCGCCTCCTGGGGGGGGGGTCGACATTTCAACCAAAAACACTCCCTTCAACGAAAGGATTGAATGAATTTACAAGGAGGGACATTTTCAGCATGGGGACTTTCTCGATTGAGAGGTACATGGGGGGATTTGGAGTCTGGGGATGGTGGGGAGAGGTGTTCCCTTCAGAAAACTCAGGACAACAGAGGTTGATTTACTTATCTTTGTGCATCCATCGCTGGCACGGGACCTGTCACCGTGGATGCTTAATAAATGTTCCTTCAACGAACAAACTAACCCACAAAGGCGGAAGTGCTGGTGTTAAGGAGGAGGGTAGGGGATCTAAGATCTGGAGGGAAAGGTTCTCCTGCCATCTGGTGGCCATTTCTGGAATGACACTTTTCTTCTAAGGCAGGAGAAGGACATGGAGGGCTGCTTGGGGGACCTTGGCTGTGTGTGCAGGAGGTGAGGAAGCAAAATTACAGACTGGAGTGGGGTGCGGTAGGGGGGCCTTACCTTCCACTGAAGTTTGCAAAAGATCAGAACTTAGAGTGTGGCTTGCTCCCTGTGACCCCTCAAGCCCCCTGCCATCCCTCTCCTATCTCCCAGCCCCCAGCTGTCGCCTGAGGTGAGTTTCCACCTGCCCCCACCTTGCAGAAGGACAGGTATGGCTCTTCCTGGCACTAAAGTAGGGTTTCCCCATAAGTGGACACCAAACACCATCCTCATGTCAGACAGAGCCTCATCCTCCACCCTTGGGAAAACCCGGAGCATAAAACGCCTTCCTCCAAAGCTGTTCACATGAGATTTTGTGTGCAGAGGACTTGGACCCCAAGAAGGCCTGCTACAAGCGTGTATGTTGTTCAACACCCAGGATGATTCTTAGGAACATGAACATGCATCCCTCCTCATTGTTCCCGAACCCCCGAGCCAGCCAGCACCCACAACCTCACCACGGTCCTCTCTGCCCCATCCCATCCATGCGTGGCCCCCGGAGTTTCTCCTGGGATCTCTGGCTTCCCCATCCCCTCTCCCTGAGCCTGGGACAAGTCAGAAAGGCGAGAGGGGTTAGGTAAGAACAGACACTTTATTGTACACCATGGGCGGGGAGTGAAGAGAGGAAGGAGGGGGTCTGGGGGTGACAATGCCTCGTCCCCTCCCCTGGGCTGAGTGGTCTTGACCCAGGGCCCTGGCCAGTCATGGGGCACATGGATTTGAATTGTTCTAAACTTGCACCAGAACCAAAAGTGATACCTGCTGTGTGTGCTTGGGTCTGTACAAAGCAGCGCTCAGGGTGAGGAGGGACCCTGGGCCCTTCTTCCCCAACCCCAGTCATTAGGCTCCAGTGAGAGGGCAGCAGGCCCCCCGTTTCAGGGCCTAGTGGATGCTCAGGGAGTCAGGTGTATTCCAACCTGTTGTCTCTTCTCTGTTCCACCATGGGAGTACTCTGGGGGGGATGGGAGGGGGATGCAGCTGTGAGGAGGGGCAGAAGGGGAGCCCCCTGCCCATTATACTGCAGGCCTGCTCAGGGCCTGGCACCACGTGGCTTCCAGCCCCCCAGCCTCAGCCTATGGCAGGTGACTCAGGAATTCTTCTCCTGGCACTAGGAAAGTGCAAGTTCCCTCAGATTTATCGCTGGAGGGCCAAAGCCAACCTCGCTGGTATCAACTAAAGTGCCCTCCCTGTCCATCCCCATCTGGATATCGGATTTCATGCTGCCTCAGTGGAGAGGGCTCCCTGAGCAAGAAGCTGGTGATTGGAGCTGGAGGACAGGCAGGGACGGGGACCAGGGGACTCTTTCGGGCACGCCCCGCCCTGCCTTGCCCTGAGTCCACTGTCCCCTGTGGGCACTGCATGGACAGCACCAAAGCCAGTAAGGGATGGGGACCCTGTACAGGGATGTGGGGGCCTGCCCCTCTCCGGCCCCCTCCTGCTCCTCTGGGGAATCTGGGGCTGGATCGTACCTCATCAGATGCCCCACCTTGTCTTGACTCCCCCCAGGCCTCGCCCCACTCCCGGCTCCCCTGAGGAGTGAGGAGTGTGAGTCAGAAGCACAGGGCAAGAGCAGCTGTTCCTTTCAGAACACCCTCAGAACTGTCTCAAGGACAAACGCGGGACAGAGGCGCTGTGAGCTGCTCTCCTGAGGTCTCACCATCTTAAGAAACCCTGTGCTTTTCCTTAGGATGAAGAGCTCATGAGTCCAGTGGGAACAGCAAGAGGTTGGCTAGAAAATAAATGTAGGGGCTTCCCCCCGCCAAAGCCCCTCCTTTCCTGTTTCTGGCAAGCCCATTGGTGTGAAGGCAATGAGTCACCAGCAAGAAACACCTGCCTTTCCCCACAGCACCCTGCCCCGAGGCCTTGCCTGACAGAGCTGAGAGGAGAAGATGGCGGGGGGCAGGGGGGCAGTGTGGTCTTCAGGAACACAGTGAACACTGGGGATCACAAATCACCCTGCACACGTCACACACATACACACGCGCACGCGCACACACCAAGCTCCAGGCCCTATGTCTAACACAGCAGAGACACAGCAAGGAGAGGGCCTGGCCTACGGCAAAAGGCTGCAAGCGTTACCCAGCCTCTACGAACCAAACCGACGGCCCAGCTCAGCCGCCCTGGTGCAGGCTGGCAGGCTGAGGCCTGGCCCAGCCACACGCTACAAAATTAAAAATATATCAAATATACAATGAAAATAGATCTGTACAGCACTGAGGATGAAAATAGTCCACCAGCCACAGTATAATATTGGGTTTGTCAGTTAACAGCATTTACACCCACATGTACAGATTGAATGTACAATAGAAATAGAATATATAGAAGAGTATATATAGTAGAGTGTCTCTCCTGGGGCATTGCTTTTCCTGTTGCTAAATCTGCTGGGATTAGGCAGGGGGCCAGGTAGGAGGTGTTAGGTGAGGGTGCCTAAGGCGGGATGTTGTGCCCCAAAGGCTCATGTCTTTGGGGAGATGTGGGTCTCCTTCTCCCCTCACACTCAGAAAGGACAGGTGTGGCCAGAGGGCTGGAAACGGGAGCGGATATGGGGGAGGGATGAGTCAAGGAAATGGCAGGGTGGGGGGATGGACCCCCAGGCAAGGTGGCGGGGGAGGGGGGCCAAGGGGCTAAGGGATGAAGGAGAGAACCCCGGACCTCATCTGTCCCTCCCCGTGCTAAGAACACAAGAGGAACTCATGACCTTCCGCGAAGGTGCCCAGACCTAGCACTGTGGCCTGATGCTCTGCCCACCACAGGTCTCACAGATGGAGTTCTGCTGGCCCAGCCTGCCTGCCTGCCGGCCGGCCATGCATCCACAGCTGCGCACCCATTCATCCATCCATGCACCAATCCATCCATCGCCCTGCAGACATGATTCTCCAGCCGGGCTCTGATCCTCCCAGCCTGCACTCTGAGGGCAGCCCTCTTCCGGGGAAGGCCTCAGGTCAGGGTGGGTGGGGGTGCTGGGGGTGCCCAGCCCGGCCCTTCCTCTCGGCAGCCTCCAGTGTCCACAGCACTGCCTGTGTGCCCTCCCCACCACGGGCTGGGCATCTTGGGGGAAGGTTCCCGAGGTTATTTGCACACAATGGGCACACCGCAAGGGCTGGGCTTGCACAAGGAGAGTGAGGGGCAGCCCAAAGGGGCAGTGAAATTATCCGTCTTTCCCCAGGTGTGAGGTGTCCTGGGTATGAGCCCCTGAACTCCAGGGACCCCCCCATTCCAGGAGAGAAGCTGCCGCTAGCGAGAAAGTTGAGCCCCAGGTGAGAGAGGGAGTGTGCTTCACAATTGTGCTCCAAACCATCTGAATTGTGCTGTGAACCATCAGGTGTGCTCTGGAAACCTCTCTGTGTACTGTCCCCTCCTCTCTTGAGGAAGAAGGCACAGGCCACTACTGTGGGCTCCCGGCTGGGGACGGAGAGGGCAGGCAAAGCCCTAGTGGGGGTGGGGAAGGGTCCCGGGCAATCCTCGCCCTCCCAGGCAGGATGCGGGACACATCCTGCCCCAGGCAGGGCCAAGGACATGGGAGATTCCACCCAGAGCCCCAGGCTGAGGGGTGCCCACGCCTAGCCCCCTTCCCCGCTGCCAAGGCTGGCGCTCAAGCCAGAGCGCACCAGCTGTCTCGTAAAACAGAACTTGGGGACTTCTACAAGATTCCATCCCAAGTCTGAGCCCTGAGTCCCGGCACAATCGTCCCATCCCCAACCTTAAATCAGTCCGCCTCTGGGATGCCCCACACCACATCCTACCCCACCCGGTGCCCCTCACCACCAGCTGGCAGCACAGAGGGTGCCCAGGACCTAAGACCTACAGGTGCCAGGTAACAGGGAGAGAGGGTGGGGGGGAGCGACCCCTACAGTGGCCACTTGCCATCTCCCCTGTGCTGGGAATCAGGGCTTCTGGACTGTTCCCGTTTGTCAGCTGCAGTTTGGTGAGAGGATCTCAGGAGGTTAGACGGGTTGGGAGCCTGCACTGGGGACGGAGTCTCTCGCAGGCCCTGCTCAGGTGTAGGGGGAAGCTGGCTGGGACTGGGGTGGGGGATGAGGCAGGGCAGACCCCCTCTCCTTGGGCAGAGGACCTGGCCTAGAAAGAGAGGCCAGGCTGGGATGAGCGGGCTGGATGGGCGTGAGGCGGGAGAGGTGGGCAGGGTGGGGCAGTGGTCACAGCTCTGACTCGGGGGTGCCGGCCAGGAGGTAGCTGCTCCCATAGCGTCCGTTGGGGTTGCCGCCGGTCTCCAGGGGGGACGTGCTGCCGGGCCCCAGGTAGGAGCGGTGGGTGGGCATAGGGGACGGCGCCTCGCTGGGCACCTTGCTGAGGATGAAGCGGGTCTCATCGTTCTCCTCCAGGTTGGAGATGTCCTTCATCATGCGGCCCTTCTTGTAGGACACAGAGAGGGTGTTGGAGCCGTCGGAGAGCAGGTGGAAGTGCCGAAGGATGAACACCACAGGGATGGGCAGGGTCGCCACAACGATGAGGGTGATCAGGAGCGCCATGGCCCAGGTGGGAAAGTACAGGTAGCGCTCGGCAGCCTAGCGGGGGGGACACGGGTGAGGGCTGTGACAAGCTCACCCTCCCGGGGCCTCCAGGCCCATCTCTTCCTGCCCTCTCCCTGCCCCCCACCTGCCATCCTGGCCAGGCACCGGCAGAGATGGAGGCCATCAGGGTTGCTACTTGGGTTAACTGGTCCCCTTGGTCAAGGGCCCGAGCTCCCCTGGGTCTCAGTTTCTACATCTGTAAAATGGGTGGGTGATTCTGCTCCACAGACACGGAGAGAGAACATGGGTTAGAACTGGACAAGTGTGTCAACATTTCTGAGCCTCAGTCTCCCCACGTGCGCTAGGGGATAACGCCTCTTCTCTCTCTGGGCTGTTGTAAAAATAGAGGCCTTGGCAGGGGCCTGGCACACAGCAGCTACCCTATGAGGGTTTCTCTCTATTGCCTGTTGCATTCAGGTCCCCCCTCACCTCCTCCTTGATCCAGGCACTGTACCCCGGGGGCGTGACCCCCAGCTGGATGATGCTGGCCGTGGTGAGCACAGCCATACACAGGGGAGACACGAACTTCCACATGTAGAAGTAGAAGCGATAGGGCCGGAAGCCCAGCATCTCCGTCAGCTCCTGCATGAACCTGCCAGGTGCACAGAGGGCCCGGCATTGGCATCCCCACCGCGCCTGCGCATTCCCCCACAACCGCCTCCTCCAGGAAGACTTCACTGACCGCCAGTCCCTCCCTCCCAGGCTCTTCCATTCTTCACATTCAGGGCTCCCAGTTTATTATTCGGTGGCCCAACTGACCTCTGGGCAGGCTCTGGTGTCCCCTGCTAACTTCCTCTGACTACCTCACGTCACACCCCACCCAGGGATATGTTATAGTCCACGGGACATGCCGGGCCGGCGGACCGGCACCGAGGACTTCTGCGTTCACCAGGCGCCCAGCCCCACTCACACTGGCCTGGCCCTAGACTCCCCCTGCTGGAAACGAGGTGAAATGCACGTCCCTAGTGTCCAGAGGCCCTGACTTAGGGGTTTCTAACCTCCCGCTCTGTGCGGGGGATGACCATAGCCGCAGGCTGTGTATATGAATGTCATAAGAAAAAAATTATCTCTACTTGAATAACACCTACCTGAAATCTTGCGTTTCTTTCTGTTGTAAATGCAAGCAACAACAGGGATATTAGCAGTACCTGAGACTTTGTCACCAATTGATTAAATGTCAGGTATCGCCCTATCACATTACAACTGAACCTACCTACAAACATCAATTATATTCCTCACTATTTCACAATTACCACTATGATTACCCTAGCGAGATCTTCTGACTTAATGCAGTAAAAAATAACACACATACATAAAAAACTGCACATACATTACTGTATCAGATTTTAAATAGTATTTTTGCTATTTTTCAATTTAATTAATTTCCTATATAATCTTATATATTTTATTTTGTCCACTTAAACATAATATTCTGCGAAGGCACACAGGGGCTTCACCAGATTGCCGAAGAGTCAGGGCCCCTTCCAGCCCTGGCTCCCGGGGCTTCTCCCGTCTCACGGTGTCCCCACCCGCCTTCTCGTAAGAAGGACATGGCTGTAGCGGGGCCGTGAGAGAGCCTGATTCCAAGACCCCGTCCAGACATCAGGGGAGCCCCCGGCCTTGCAGGGAGAGTGGGAGGGGCCTGGCCCTGGGGCTTCCCAGGCTCACAGATTTGTTAAATGAGGAACGAGGCTAGGGGCTGACAGAGAGGGTGGCTCTGCCCTAGGCTCAGGCCACGAGACCCAATCCTTCCTTACCGCAGACTTCCCTTACCCCACCTGATCCCACACTTCCGGCCCTAACCACACCTCATCACACACCCCTATGTCGATCACCTGAAAACTGCCTCGGGCTGCTGAAGTTCAAGAACTCTTTGACAGCAGGGGCCTCCTGTATACTCAGTGCTTAAGAAAGTTAACAGAACTCTGAAGAGTTGGTTGTCAGGTACGGGGCTACGGTAACTTAAGGCAGTTTAGGGTGATGCCAGGACCTGAACCCAGGAGGCTCACGTGCTCAGCCTGGCTCTGCCTCTCACCAGCCATGTGGCCTTGGGCAGTCATGTCCTCTCTCTGAGTCTCATTTTTTCCTAATGATCTCTAAGGGCACTTTCAGCTCTGACGTTCTGACTCTGTGATCTCCTGTCCCGCTCAGAAGCAGCCCAGGGAACGCAGCACTCTCCAGGGGGTCAGAAGAGGACAGACCCCTCCTCCCATCCAACCCCTTCCCCATGTCCCCCTTACTTCTTGGTTCCATAGATCCAGGCCACAGCAATGTTCTCAAGGATGACGATGACAGTAAGCGGCAGGGTGGCCGAGTAGTCATCAAACATAGTGACAAAGTAGTTTCCGGAGCGCTGGACGAACAACAGCCCCACGAAGAATGCAAACACACAGCAGCCCACTACAGAGAGCCGGGAGGCCGGTGTGGCGGCACAGGTGCGGGGTAGGCGGGGCCCGGGGGGCTTGGGGGGCACCCAGGCCCCTCCCTTCCCACCCCTCCTCCCAGAAGGCCTTCAAGGGGGGAGGGATCCAGATGCTGAGGTTCTGAGCTCCCACTCCTTTAGGAGAGGAGCAGCCCAGGGCCTGGAATGACAGAGATGGAACGGGGTGCAGGCCAGCGTGGGGGAGGACACCCCTGCCCAAGAGGATTCAGCAGGGCCTCAGAGAGAAGGGCAAATGACCCTAGGAAGAGGCCGCACCCCAGCTCAGGTTTGGCCCAGACGCCCAGACGCCCAGACAGCCTTCTCCTGGCTCTTGAGTGCTCTTCTCTGGGACAGAAGCCGGGCTCCAACTGCATCCCAGTGCGGGCAGCAGGGAGCCTTCTCAGTATGGAGTCTGTCTAAAGTCAAAGGAGTATCCTGATTGTCATCCCTGAGGGCAGCCCGGCAGGCCAGTGGCACCTGCCAGGAGGAGTTACCTGTGAACATCTCCTTGGGCACCTTGAAGGTGTCGATGATGGGCGTGGTGATGCCAGCCATGGTCCCAATCATACTGCCCAGGCCCAGGTTGATGAGCATCAGGAAGAACATGACAGACCAGAACGGGGAGGCGGGGAAGTGCGTCATGGCCTCCGTGAAGGCGATGAAGGCCAGCCCTGTGCCCTGCACGGACTGAGGGCGGGGTGGAGGGCGAGGGCTCAGTGAGGCCCACACCACTCCTGGGAGCCCCTTGCCTCCTTATCTTTGCCCCTGGGGCTTTAAGAATAACTCTTCTCTCTTTCACAGGAATCCGTGCCCTCACCTAAATCCTCTTGTGTTTTGACCAGTGGGTCTCAAACTTGGGTGAGTGTCAGAATCCGTCCTACTCCAGGGAGGAAGATACCGATTTAAAAGTTCACCTGTGGGATCTGGAAGCTACAAGTTGTACAGCAACCCCAGGTGATGCAGATGAAGATGCTCACATTTAGAAGGACGCCCAGCTTGAGACCTTCCTCCTCTAGGAGGTCTTCCCTGATTGCTCCAGTCACAACTATGGGAGCTCCCAGCCCTGAGCTCCAGACTTTCATATAGTGGGCTCAGCCTCAGCTGCCTAATGGAACCACATTGAAGCCTTTAAAACACCAATGCCTGGGTCTCACCGTGGAGACAGTGATTTGATTGGTCTGGGGGTAGAGCTGGGTATCTGGGTTTTATTAAGTTCCCAGGTGACTCCGATGGGTAACCAAGAGAGAGAGCCTCTGTGTTAATGCTTGGGCCCCTGCTCATGGGGCAAGTGACCACACGCTGCCCACTGACATCAGTTCTCCGCTGAAGAAGGGCAGGGTTGGCCTGGGCTCAAGGGAGCTGGCTCTGCCCCGTGGAAGCCTTGGCACCGTTTGGTTCCCAAGACCCTGTGGCATGTCTCTCCCCTGTTACCCCCTCTAACAGAACAGTCGCTCTGAAAACTTCCTGCTGTGCAAATGGGAATAGAAGCATGGTGTCCACCCCGGGCCTGAGCATTAATGAGGGCGCGGTATCCCCCTGCTCTACCCCAGGGGCTAAGTCATCGTGGCAGTGGGAGCTGCAGGGCGGACGGTGGGAGGAGGGAACAGAAGCAGCAAGGGGTGACTCAGAGCATGGAGATTTGAACGCTGGCTCCCCTTACCAGCTGTGAGGCCTCGGGAATGCTCCCAACTTACAGGCTGCACAGCTATAGGACAGGGGACAATATTAAGGCTCAATTCACAGCACTGTCCTGAGGGCCAAAGGGAGTAGACAGCAGAGGCAAACACTAACGAAAACGCTTATTTTCCGTGAGCCACGTACAAAGCACGGTCGCAAGGGCCTTACAAATGGCAGCGACCCCCGACACACACACAGAAACCCATTCAATGAATCTGAAAGTCGTTCTGTAGAATTCCTGTGATTTCTGTGATAGGCACGTCTGCCTTACCTCCTCGTCCAGATAACCTACCTCCGGGCAGGGGTTTGGCTGATCCCTTTCCTCTCTCCCTCCCTGGATACATAGCAGGTCCCCGTTTCTCAAGCAAATGAATGCGTCCCAGGCGGCCTTCTGAGGCCTATATGCGAGCCGCAGCCACCCAAGGCCCGTCTCTGGGTCCCACGCTCCCACGTCTGCCTTCCTACCCACCCTGAAAAGGGCAGCCTGTCCCACACCTTGTCCAGCTCGTCCTCCAGAAGGCAGGGGTCGAGGCCCAGGGATGCGAAGTGGTCTTCCTTCACGGCCCTGATGACTTTGTACATCTCTGTGTAGTCCTTGGCAGTCAGGTGCGAGAAGTTGACGTGCGGAGGGATGAGGTCCCGGCTCAGGACGTTGGTGTGGAGGTACCCCAGGATTTTCTCGGCATTCCTGCCGCACAAAGTGGAGAGGGCCAGGTACAAAGGCAGGGGTGGGCACGGTCCCGGAGGCGCCTCCCAGATACCCAGGCAGGACAACCGCCCCCACAACCCTGCCACGGGCCATTGACAGAGACATCTCTGCCCCTGAGCCTGGGATCCAGGGGCCAGGGACAGAGAGAGCTCCACCCCCTGGGTGTGGGGGGACGGGGACTCTGGGACTCTGGGTCACTCCCTGCCTGGGCAAGACGGACAGGAGGAGAGACACCACCTACTCGACCACACACTTCTCGTTCATGATGTTGGCCTTGAAGCCCAGCACGGCAAACACCACGAGGGTGGCCAGCACCGAGGTGAAGAAATTAATGAAGGACACCAGTGCAGCGTCGAAGTGGCAGTTGTTGTCTGGCTTGTTGTAGCTGGAGAAGGCGATGACACCCCCGAAGCCCAGCCCCAGGGCGAAGAAGACCTGGGTGGCCGCCTCCCGCCACACCTGGGGGTCCAGCATCTTGTCCAGCTGTAGGGGGGAGGACCAGAGACACACAGATGATGGTTTCCCACGACACCCCTTTCTGCATGGCAGAGTGGGAAAGCTGGGGCTGTGTGAACTTGGGCGTCCCCCCTAGTCCCCATGTGCCGAACATGAGGAACGAGAGTATCGACTTCAGAGGATGTTTGTGAGGCTTAAGATGGAATAAATGCTATGTGCTTACTCAGTAACTTCTCAGTCAATTTTAACTGCCATCTTTGCTTACCATGGAGCTATTATACTGAGGAATAGCTTCAGGGCCATTAGATATGAGGCATGGCGCACAACTCCAGGGAGTGCCATTCACTTGAACGGTGCCTCCTGGAGTTGTGCAGTGTACAACCTGCACAACAGTACCAGAGAACTAAGAACACTGATATCTCCCTGATAACCTCCTCCACTTCAAACCATGAGAAAGGACACCAACTTCTTCCTCCTGCCCGCCTGATCTCCCTTTCCCCAGGGGGAAAAAAAAAAGGACCAATGTTCATTCATACACATCGACATACTCCAGATCACAGAAGGACCCTCCCCCCCCCACCCACCCAACTTAAAACACAGAACCCAGACACTTCCTGGAGAGGGGAAACCCCTGCCTGACCCTCCATGTGCCCTCAGACCTGACAGAACCCTGAGCTACCCCAGCATGTAGAGGGCAGGGGGCAATTCCCAAAGTGCTTTTCGTATCCATTTTCCTTTCACTGTTTGCTCCTCAAGGCAGGGACAGTGGCTTGGACCCAGCACGGGGCTGTCGAGTTGGACAGACCCAGGTCTAAACCTGACTCCCATCTTCAAATAGCTGAGAATGCTTTTAGGAAAATGACAGTGCCTGTTTTATGAGGCTCAGTTTTCCCATCTGAAAAATGGGAATAATAATACAGTGTCCCTCCCACGGTGCTTGTGAGGATCAGATGTGGCAGCAACAAGTAATACCCGGCACATAAGTAGCAAAATTAATCCTGCCAAAGTACCTCTGACCTAGTCAGGACAGGTTTGTTTGTTTTTTGTTTTTTGGGGGGGGTTTTTTGGTGAGGGGCAGGAATTATTATTCACATTTCAAAAGAGCGAACTGAGACCTCAAGGTGGAAATTACTTGCTCCAAGTGACGGAGCTGGTTGTTGGGGCAGAGAAATTACTCAAGTACAGATGGTCTGACAACGTCCTAACACCGTCTCCTGACGCCTCTACTCCTCAGAGCATTGCCCCCTGGACCTCTGCTGCTGAGGTCGACCCAAGTGACAGACCAGGGAGACAAGGAGGCGCTAGAGAGTTTGCCATCCCTGCAGGCACCAGCCCTACCTGGTCCTGGCCCGGCTGCCCCTCGTTGTGTGCCCGTGGCTCAGTCCTTCCTCGTGGGCACACTGAGGCATCGGACTTGAAGCTATGTTACAGCCCTAGCCCCCAGGACAGAGGCCCACCCGCCCGTCACCTCAGCAGCTCCCTAGGCATATGTGAACACCTGGCGTCACTCCACTAGCTGAGAAGGTGTCGGCAAGCTTGGGGGCCGGAGGAGGCACTGCAGGCTGGGGAGGAAGAGGGGGACAATGGGAGTAGAGCCTTTAGGGTCAGTATGCAAATGGAGCCCTGGCCCGAAAGTATGTGCGCTCTGGGGGAGATTAAGGTCCCCCACCTTGCACAAAATAAAGTCATCTCTGGTCCACCAAGAAAGCCCAGAACGCAGACATTCAGGAGCTAACAGCCCCGACATCTCTAAGAAGGCGTGACACCCCCCTCACATCCCCCCCCCGACCCCGCTCCCTGCATCCTCGGTGGTAACGTGAGGTCTCCCTGTGACTATGACTCATCCATCCAACACAGAGCACCTATGTGGGCCAGGCCCAGTGCTAGGTGATGGGGAGCCATAGAGGGCAAGAACAGGCAGGGTCGCAGCTCCTGGGGAGTTGACATTCTAATTGGAGAGGTGGCCACTGTCAAATGACCCCACAAACAGATGCTGAGTGGCAACTAGGACCGGGGCTGTGCAGGCCAGGCACCCAAAGCTCCGAGAGCCTGTAGCCTGTAGCAGGGGGACTTGAGCCAGGCAGGAGGCCACAGAAGGCTTCCCCGGGAGGAAGGGATCCCTGAACTGACATCTGAGAGATACAAAAGCAAGGCTAAGAGCGGGAAGAGCATTCCCGCAGAGGGAACAGTGTGTGCAGAGGCCCAGAGGCGAGGCAGGACAGAGGCAGGCAGGTAAAGTTAAGGGAAGGGGCCAGGCTGCCAGAAGCAGCAAGGACAAGGCGGGGGAGGTAGAGGTGAGGCTGGGAGGCAGAAGAGTCAGATCAAAGGTCCTAAGAAAGCACCTAATCTGGGAAACCGCTAAGAGATGTAGAGGAGAAGGCTAGCAACCCAGCCGACCTTAGCCACAACCTGGAGATGGGGGGATGCTCAAGAGTCAGGTGCCAAGGCGACAGCCACGCTTCTGGCCCGCCTACCTGGCGGGGTGCAGATGGAGTCCGAGGAAAAGGGGCAGGTCCTGATGGGGTTGGAACAGGGCAGATCAAGGCATTCGCTGCAAAAATGCTGAATTTAACGTGTCTTTACACTATCTAAGAGGAGAGGTCAAGTGGGCAGGCAGACAAGTGAGTGGGTCTAGAGTCCAGAGAAGAGGCTGAGCCGGAGATGTAACTCGTGAGGAGCAGGTGTGCTGGAAGGGACTGAGGCCCTCCCTGTGGAGGACTGGGAAGAGGCAAGCCAGGGGCCCAGGCGAGGGGGTCTCACAAGGGAGGGAGAGGAGGTGGGCAGCCCAGATGGGAGGAAGAGCAAGAGAGGGCTGGATCGGAGGCCACAGGGAGCAAGCAGGCCTGGGAGGAGGAGGGCCCCGTGCGACCCGGAAAAATACACTGGGGTGAGCCAGGCCCGGGGGCTCGGAGCGTGCGGGAAGTGATGGGGCCCGAGTCGGGTAGGAGCCAGGCGAGCAGAGAAGCAGAGGGGAAGAAATGAAGGTAAAGTGGATAATCAACTCCTTGGAGAAGCTCGCCTTGGAACAGGAGGAGAAAGACAGCAGGTTCAGGCAAAGGCTATAAAAACTATTGATTTGTTGTCTCGTTTTTGTCTTTAATGCAGTGACTTGATGATAGGTAGAAGCAGATGGAGGGCAGGCGGTCTAGAGGGGCGGGAGCTGTCTCCCATCAGAGACCCTGGAGCTGCTCATGGAGGGACCAGGCCAAGAGAACGGGATGGGGCCGGCAGGTGCAGGCGGGTTTGGATGTTCCGTGTCTACGAGGGAGTTTGTCTCGGTGGCTCCTGTTCACCCCGTAAAGCAGGAGGCCAAATCATCTGTTAGGGGTGAAGTCGGGACATGCAGACAGGTGGAAGAGCTTTAAAACGATCACAGTGAAGTATGGAGAATGAGACACCAGGGAAATGAGGTAGGGTTAGCCCACACTGTTGGGGGTCCACTGGGCTCGAAATGGCCTCTTTACAAAAGTAGGATGGACAGGCCCACGTTTCCTTATCTAAAAGCCCTGAGGCCGGACTGGTTGTGGAATTGGGCTCTTGTTCCTAACTCTATTTTAGAAAGGTAATGTGGTGCATATGCCACATAATTACATAACACCCCCAGCAGGGTCTGGGGCAGCACCCCGTAATCAAACACATTAGTATTTCTGCAGCAGAATATGAATATGAATATTCACACCAAGTGAATCAATAGAGACTAAAAATAGCCTCACATCTGTTCAGGTCATTTTGCCGCCATATGAGTTCCAGGAGAAAGAAAAAACAACTTTTGTTTTTCGGGGCTATTTGGATTTTGTCATCATGAGTAAGGAAACAGAGGCCTATACAGAAATTTGAAGATTATTTTAAAAAGGAGAACAAAGTAATCATTGTCCCACTGGGAAAAGCCTTCTGTATCTCCCCTATCCTGGGTGGGTTCTTAAATGATTTTCCCAGAAAGTTCTGGAAATGGGTGGAGGGATTACTTGTGCCTGGAAGGCCTGTGGGTATTCACTGATGCTCACAAATGTCAGTCAGTTTTACCAATCAGCTGGAACCTAGGAACCTCCCTTGGGCTAGAAACCTCGACCTAATGGCTGGGCTCTGGGTGGTCTGGTGAGCTCCAAGCAGAAAGAAGAACACAAGATTTTGTAAGAGACGGTAAATTGAGATGGACACAGCCCTGGTCATCTCCCTTGCATGTGGAAAAATCCCTGATGGTTCTCCACTGTCTGCTGGAAAATATTTTCCCACTTTTTGTCCCTATCTCCAAATGCACTGAACTTACTCTTCAAAAGCAGTGCAGTCTCATACCTCTGGCCTTTGCCCAGGCTGTTCCCTCTGCCTGGAATTCCCTTCCTCCTCCTCACATTCTGGCAAAACTCCTGTTTATTTCTCAAAAGCCAGCACAAATATCACCTCTCTGAAGCCTTTCCTGATGCCTCTGGCAGAGCTTGTCATGGTCCTTGGGCTCTCCCAGCTCTGGTCAACCCCCGCATATCAGGTTTATATGTCTGCCTTCTCTTCAACACTTCGTGTTTCTTAGGGGCGGAGCCCATCTCCTGTTCATCTTTGAATGCAATGTCTGGTACACGGAAGGCAAGGAAAAGAGTTGGGGGCAAGAGAGACAGACAAGGCTGCTTCCTGAAGGTGAGCTGAGTGGGAAGGACCAGACCAGGCACTGTGAAATTGTCCTGGCCTTTTTGTGCTAGGATGCAGGCTTCTAGGACAAGAAGATCCCTATGGTTTTAAACTTCTACTTTCTAAAGCATGGCTATTTTAATGCTGGCTTCTTTTCCTTTCTTCTTGGTTTTCTACCTCTCCCTTCCCCCTCCTCCTCCCCCCCCCCCCGCCGCTTCTTCATCTTCTTCTGGTGATTTTTCATTTTTCATCTATATCAGTCATTACTAAAGTTTTTACTAAAGGGTCTGAATCATCTGTGAGACCCAAACATGTCATTGTTAGGATTTTCATCATTCCCTAAATCTAAAATTAAGACATGGGTAAATTCCTAGGCCCAGCCACTGTTCAGGGCCAAGTTCCATAAA